AATCATCACATTCTTTCAGTGACTGTTATATCATCAGTTGTGATTGTTCTGTTAGCAATCCAAGAAACTAGACACTACCTTGCTGGTGACATTGTAGAGCAGTTGTATGTGGATTCTACGACTTCCGACATTCGCCTTGACGTACATTTCGACATCACATTCCATAGATTACCCTGTGTTTGTAAGTTTCTCGTCTTATGCTTGGTTTTCAGCCTTGACACAGTCAAGTGGATATGTCTGAGAATACGAATAATTTGTTCGATCAGTGGCATTCAAACCAGTCTATAGCGAAGCAAAGAAGATACCATAATTCAGAACACAATCAACAAGCCCTGTAGGTTAAGTAACGTAGTGAATACGCTCAACTAACGAGACCGAGTTCACGAATATATCGTGTTGTGGAATCGGAGAGCCTTTTGGGTTTCGCACATACACAAAAAGCCACCTAAAAGGATTGGATGAACCTAATGGGTTAACGAACCTATAGTCTAAGCGTTTTTGAGAAATAAATGCAGGGAAAAGATCGTAAAATCAATTCTTGGAGATACATCGATTGTATTTTTATATCAAAAGCTTAGAACATATACTTTCCACGTACAAACTCTTTGAGTATCACCTTGATATGCATTTATGTTCAGTCATCAGTGTTGACGTAATGGACGTTACTAACGAAGATCAGGATGATATACAGCATGATATTTTTAAATTGCGGCTGGATAAAAATGGAAAGAACATCACTGCCGAATCCCAAAAAATTAGTAAGAATTTGTCTTTAGAAGTTTTGCTCGTTTGGAAGTCTTTTGTCTTCCTTTTGATATATTCAATGGCTTTGCTCGTAATACAGAGGTCAACCAAAACATCACTGCCGCGGTTATTTCAAAACCAGAATGTGGAAGCTGCTACGGAGCACTGCCAGAAGGAAGGTAGTCTTACTGCTGCTAAATTTGCTATTTCTCACTGATTTATTTTAGTTGCTGCAATACATGCGAGGAAGTTAAACAAGCCTTTGAGGCGAGAAATTGGGCGATAAATCTCGAGAAAGTAGAGCAGTGCGTGGTATGTGACTGAATGTGGCTGATACCATTTGAACGATTATCACCACTACTCTTTCAGTTTGATCCATGGCTAAATAAGTTGAGATATTACGCAGGAGAAGGATGCCGTGTGTACGGCAAAATTGAGGTGGCAAAAGTTGCTGGAAACTTTCATCTTGCACCAGGCGAAGCACGCAGGATTATGAACACACATGGTGCGTACACTAACATTTGACTATGAAATCATTCTATATTTTTATGCTCATCAAAAGCAAACGAACATAACTTTAACAGGCTTTATATTCAAAATGGGAAAGGCACACGTATCTACTGTTTTTATCCTTGCATATATGGAATGCTATTGAATTTATCAAAAAATTGTTGAAAAGGCGTATCTCATATTGATTAGAAAAGGAAATATGCATACTCGCTTTTCTAGATTGGACAAGAATGAAACCTCATGAAGTTTTATGTGTAGAGTACTAGAATTTTCTTTGTGAATGTCTTAGATCGTTATGAAGCACCCTGCTGAATCTGCAGCCAGAGT